CCGCGCTCACCTTGGCGGGGCGGCGCCGCGCCCGCAGCGTGACGATGAGGGAGAACTCCTCGGGGAAGCGGTCGCAGTGGATGAAGAGCCGCGAGGCGGGGAAGCCCAGGGCGCGGGGCCGCGCGGCCGAGAGCTGCAAGCCGCGCACCCCCTGCACCTGGAAGACCCGCATGCCCCGGGCCGGCCCCCCGGCCGGCACCGCCTCCGACAGGATGTCCAGCGGGCGCAGGTCTGTGCCGAGAGACAGCGGAGTCATTGATCCCGCCCCGTCCCGCTGTGGGACGGGGAATCCTGGCGCTGGCTGAGCGGCAGGATGGGCTGGCGTGCCGCAGCAGCCTGCCGGCCCGAGCCCGAGGGTGCCCCGAGCCCCTGCTCCAGAGCCAGAGGTGAGATGTGCCGTTCAGACACAAGGTTGGCATCTCCATCGCCACAGCAGGAGCACCGAGCGTGCAGAACCATGTCGCTGATGGAGCTCTGAATGCTGACACTGGAGCTGGGACCTGCCAGCCAGGCAGCCCCAGGCTGCCAGCAGCTCCCTCGGGATCCAGCGGCACCAGCAGCCGGAGCCAGCAGAGCAGGCAGGGATCCGGTACCACACACTTGCTCTCAGGGCAGCCACCCGTCCCCATCTCTGTCCACGGGGCAGTGGGGACAGCTCCACCCCTCCAGTCCCGTTCAGGCTCTCCCAACCCAGCCCTAATTGCACACACGCACACGCACTCTCACAGCAGGCACCAAAACCACTCATTATAAATAATTACCCTCTCCCCAGAGAAGAGAACGCCGTGCCCAGCCCCAGGGCATCGCCCGGTGAGAGCACACAGCACAACAGCACCAGAAAGTGCCACCCCACGGAGCACTGCCAGGTCCAACATCTCGGCACAGGAAGGGCTGGAGCAGCTGTGGGGACTTCTCCGACCTTCCTGGCCTCGGACCCTCCTGGTTTTATTTTTGAATGCTTTTCTAGCAGAGAAGAGAGATGGTGCCCAAGAGATGAAGCAGCACTTGGCTACACTAAAACATCCCTGATTCCATCCCACCCCGCTGAGACCTGGCTTTTAGCTCCAATTTGTACTAATAAATCCGGGCTGCTGGGGCACAGCGGGAGGGCTGGGAAGGAGGGAGCTGCGAGCAAGGCTGGGCTGTGTGAATCCAAACCAGCTGGAGAAGGGAAGCGCTTCCTCCAGCCACGCCTGGCCAGCCCGGTTCCAGGTGGGCAGAGCAAGGAGGAATCTGCTCAATGTGGCTCTATCCAGACCAGAGCAGGGAGATGGGTGAGGTCCTGCCCACCCTGGCGGCCCTGTGTGCCCCCCTGCCCGCCCCACTGCTGGTTTAAGCTGTTCCTAAAGCAAAGTCTTGGTGGGGGAGTTTTAACTGGAACAGCTTATTTCAGAAATGTATCACTCGGGCAATGGCCAGTTCCTGTTTTTCCCAGCAAAAAGTACAAGCTGAACTCGGGCTTGGATTTGCTGGGGGTTCAGGAGCCCCCAGTTGCCCCTGAGGTGGTGAGGAAGAGATGGGGGAGAGCTCAGCTGGGACTGGAGGTGGTGTGCCAGGAAGGGGCCAAGCCCTAAGGCCAAACCCAAATCCCTAAATCCAAACATCTGCCTCCCACATCCATCACTGCTAAGGCTGGCAGAGCAGCTGGGGTGCTCCAGCCCAGCTTGGGCAGCACAGGTGGTGTCAGGGGGCCTCGTGCTGGGGTCCCCAGGATGATGCTGGAGCCTCGGCACCCCCAGGATCCCTCCAGCCAAGGCTGCGTGGGGACAGCAGGGACATTCCCAGAGAGATTGGAGCACCTCAGGGAAGAGGCAGGGGGCAGAAACTCTCCAATCTCTCCCAGGTTTTCTTCTCACATCACCTGGGCTGTAACAAAAAGCGAATACAATTGCCATCAAACTGGGACAATCCCTAAGCACACAAAGCTTGGGCCCAAGCGGCCCCAAAAACTGAGCTCAGGCTTCGCTGCCCACACAGGGCAGGCACGGGGATGGGATGGCAGAGCCAGGGCAGGGAGATGCTCCTTGGCTCGGAAAATTGACACTGGAGCTGCCGGCTCCCGGCCGGGACGGTGGGACGGAAACTTTTGCTGCCGGGAGAGTGGGGGCTGTGCCTGTCAGAGCACAGAAGAGTCCGGGACAGGAGGGACTTTCCAGGGGGACTGCACGGCTCTCTTCTCCTTCTTCCAGTCCTTCCCCTGCCCTCCCTCTGCCTCCAGCAGAACCTGGGACAACGCTTGTGCAACAGGGGCGGACACAGCTCTCCCCGCAGCTCCCAGAGAGCTGGCCGCTCCCCCGTTGGCACTGTGGGGGCTGCAGGCACGGGAATGACCCCCAACACCCTGCCACCACCCACGGGTGCTGGCAGCCTGCAGCCCCGGAGGCATCTCTGTCACTCGGTGCGCTTGAGCGGACACCGAGCACCGAAACACCGGGGCTGGGCTTACCAGCGAGGGGCTGAGCCACCGGGGCACAGCGCAGCTTCTGCGGGCAGCGTGGGGAGAGCATCCCAGCGGCGCAATTCCCCAGCAGTGAGCCCCTGGCCCGGAGCTGCCCCCGCCCTCCGCTCCTACCTGTGCAGTGCTGCCACGTCCTGCCGCCCCGCACGGAGCCCCCGCCGCTGGCCCAGCGCAGCAGAACGACCCAGAGCAGCAGCGGCGCCGCCATCGGGGGCTGCCCCGGGGGGTCCATCCACCGGGAGCCCCCCGCCGCCGCTGCCGCCGCCCCGCCGGCGCTGCTGGGCTCAGCGCCCCGGGGGCTCTCGCATGCTCCGCACCGGGATCCCCCGGAGCCCCGGCACCGCTCCGTCCTGCCCGGGGCCGTGTCAGCGCCCCAGGCTGCCGGAGCCCCGCTCCCTGCCCATGCTTCGCCTGGGCATCGCCCCCGGGGCACGGCCGGGGGGCTCCCGGGGCGGCCGCCGAGGCAGTGCCGGCTGCAGCCTGCACACAGACATTTAAATGAGAGGTCGGTGGTGGGAGAGGAGGAGTCCCGGCTCCTCCGAGAGCTTTTATCTTTTGCCCAGCCCTCTGGAAGGCGGCTTTGGGGAGGGATTTTTTAATCTTTTTTGTTTGTTTGTTTGTTTTTTGTTTTTTTTTGCTTCCTTTCATTTTTGGTGATTCATTTTTCTGGGCTCACATGGGGGTAGGTGAGAGATTCACCCCTGCCTGCAGAGAACTGGGTGGGAACCCTCCTGCCCCTAAATGCATTGGTTTTCAGCTTGTATTGGATGAGAGGTCCTCTGATCCCTCTGGACCACTCCACCATTGCCAGATCCCAAAAACTGCATATTTCTCCCCCAATATTGTCCCAGGCAGGTGATGCACATCCCATGCCCCAGGCCAGGCTCCATCCCAAGGGCTGGCCACCACAGCCACAAAAATTCAGAAAGCCTCCAGGTTCTGCTGCTCCAAGGGAAGCACCAGCAGTGGGGAAGCTCCCTGCACACAGTGAGCTCTGCTGGGCTCCACCAGCCGCAGAACGAGTCTCTTCCATTCCCCAAACAATTGAAACAGGCTCCCACCCCCCTCGTCCCCACAGCCTTCCTGCAAGGCGAGCGCTAGAATAGAAAGCGGATGGCGAGGACCAAACGCCAAAAACTGTGTCACAAACTGGGGGTTTTGTCAGCGAGGAAGAGCCAGAGCTGGACCCGCAGCCATGTTCACTGTCAGTCTGTCCTCACCCCAAAACTGGCCCTGCTGGGACTGAGAGTGCAGCCCAAGGAGTGCAACCCATGGTGGAGTGCAGCTCATGCCCACACTCGGTCCCAAATGCCAAGAGGAGCTGTTCTGAGCCCCACAAAGCCCAAGACACCGGAACATTGGTGCCTCTGTCTCAGAGCCTGGAGAGTGGCTGTGTGCCTGTCCAGCAGCCCTAGCAGGGCTCCATGGAGCTCCCCCCTCCTAACAGCCTCCCTTTGGGCATCCCCCAAATTAGGGTTCTACCTGGATTGTGCTAAAACAGAGCTTAACCTCTCTGCAAGAGGTGAGGCACTGCTGTCTCCTCATCCTCATCCTCATGCTAGGGATGGTGTCCAGTGGCACAGCCATAACCAAACCTGGGGCTCCCAAATGGTAGGTGGGGGTCCTGAATGGCACCTGGGAGTTCCAAATGGCAGCTGGCAGCCCTGAATGGCAGCTGCTGGAGGTGAACACAAGCGATGAAGGAGGACAAACGATCCCATCTCCCCTGACAGGCACAGTGCCTCCCAATACTCCTCACAGCCTTGAGGAAACCCACCAGGACTGGGACTGGGAGCAGTCACCTCACTGGAACCCCAGGCCATGGGAAGATGGAGACTGGTGCTCCAAGCACGTCTGGCAGAGAGGTGGTGCATTGGAGGCGAGGCTCCCATCAGGCTGGACCTGGGGAAGGCATCACAAACAAGAATCAGAGCCACCACATTTCCCAGGGCTGCACACATGTGTCAAGTTAAGCATGGATTTGGGAGCTGGCAGAACTGCCCTGAGCAGGGGATGGATTTGGGGAAGGCTCCTGCTGAGGCTCTGCAAGGGTCCAGGGAGGGAGGGAAACTCCTGGCAGAGATTCTGAGTCCATTGGTTTACCAAAGGGGATGCAGTTACCTTTCAGTGCTTTCTTGGCCAAAAACAACAGTCAGTGGGGACATCTTCAGAGCCAAGAACACAGCTGTGGGTGCCCCCTCGAGACACAGGGAGATCTGTGGAATTCCAGGCAAGAGGTGGAGGGACTGAAGCCCCCACCGATGAGCACAGAGGACACGGTGGGCTCAGGCTGCTCTTCAGCCACGTTAATGAACAGTCTCCAGGTGAGGACAGGGACATTGCAGGTCCTCAGGGTTTTCCCCTTTGCTGGGCTAGGGGTGCTGGCGTGGCAGAAGATGGTGGAGTGGCTTGGCCAGTGGCCGGCGCTTTCCTCCCTGTCTGGGGAGCTGAGCTGTGATGTGAAGTAAGGACAGGGACACATCGCTCCCCGCTGTCACATTGGGACCAGGACCTGCTCCGTGTCCCCAGGACAGTAGGAAGTGGTCTGCAAAATAGCTCCTAAGCACACAGGCACACATTCCTGTGTGCAGAAGCAAACACGAGGGGATGAAATAAGAGACAAACAGTGAGACGTTTGCCTAATTCGCATGGGGCCTAAATAAAACCATGTGGTGGCTCCGAACAAAATGATCCTTGGGTTTTCACCAGAAAGGTTTGGCCATCCCTGGGTTAGGAAAGGTTGAGAAACCCATCTGTAGGCAATCCATTGCAAGCAGAGCTTTCACACAGGGGACAGTGTGAGGAGGGCACCTCATCAACGCCAGGGACCGCTGGACCCTGCACACGGGGGAACGTTCCTGCTCTTCCAAGGCTGTAACTCATTCCTTATTATTTGCAGACACAAAACCGTGTTTCAGGGCTTCATGCCTTATTCATTTCAGTCTTTATTCCTGACATCTGTATGTAATCAGAGAACGCTTTAGGTTGGAAAAGACCTCTAAGTCCATCAAGTATTTTTCCCTGAAACGCAGCACAGGCATCAGCACAGGCAAAGCTTTGAGGGACCTCATAAGTAACTGATGGACAAATGCCCATCCCATGGTGTCCCCAGCTTTTGTCTACTCTCCTGTCTGCACCAGCAGGTCAGCAGAGCCTGCCACACTCACATCC